TAGACAAGGATGAAAACACACTAAGGGAGAAGGGCTGAACCTCTGGAGGAAATCTGATGCACTCTCTCCACCACTTCTGCACTTCCTAAATGGGTTTTAAACATCCTAAAATGTCGACAATGTGTTCATTTCCTGTGGTGGATTTACAGTGTGTGACAGGAAATCCATTTCTTTTCCTGTAGATGCTAAATACATTACCTTGACACAGAATTCAGACTCACTCTTTGCACTTGCTGCCATAGCAACCAGTATTGGGCACTTTTTTTTTCTTTCTATTTTTCCTTCCACTGGAAGCTGTATAGTCAAATGCAGCCAGTAAAAACTGCATTAAAAATGTTTTTTTTAAAAGACATCTAACACTGTTATACCAAGGGGTTCTTCATACTGTCTCCTTCATAGTTATATTATTCATAAATCTGTAATCACATTATAGACCATAGCATTCTAAATTAGCAGAGTTGGGCTTTTCTTAAGATCCTTTTATGAGTGAATTTATTTGTTTCCTTTTTACGTTTTTTTCATAGCAATGAGAGTTATTTGAAATAATGGAAGAGTTAGATTTTTCTTATTCATCCAATAGAATTCTCTGCAGAGCTGTAATTACTGTCAGAGGCACGTCCTGGACAGGTAATAGACATAAGTGATCCAAATGCTATTATGGCTCTGAATAATGTCATGCTTAAATTCCACATGGTTTGGTATGTATTCTGGTTTTGGCTTAAAGAAAGGAAAGAATACCTCAAGCTCATCATGGCAATAAATTTTCTTGTTTCCTAAATGACAGAGTGAATAATTAAAAAATAAATCAAATATATTTCAGGGTCAAATATTTGTGGGGTTAGCTTGGAGTGATGGCTGAAGGCGAGGATAAAGAACACTTGGCATGCCTGCCTCAGTCTCAGGAGGTCCTATTTTTGAGGATCCAACATGCAACATGCTCACACATATTGTAGGGATAGGATCCTGGGCATATATACATCAAGGTCCAGAAAATCATAACACCAGCAAGGAATATATCTGTGTCATTGCCAGGCTAGTGACTATATAGCAACAATCACTTGGCATAGTACATTCAAAGGGCTCAAGCCACCAAGCCCATCTGGTCCAACTTTGATTATTTAATTATTGTTTTAAATGTAGTATCCAGAAACTACTTAGGAGAGTGTTCAAAGAAGAAAGAAGAAGGTATGTTCAAAGAAGATATTTTACAGCTCAAAGCAGATAGCATATCAGCAATTAACAAAAGAATGGTGATGTATAACTTTTTAAAACTGTGTGTGTGTGTGTGTGTGTGTGTTTCTTCCTCATGTTTATACTTACCTGGGCCTACAGCAGAGGTATTTTGCATATTTTTCATTTAGTGATTACCTAAATTTCTCTCCATATTCTTTAGGTCTAAAATAAATTCAAGTGTATATAATAGTGTCCCATGCTGGGCACTATGGCACACATCTATAAACCCAGTAACTTGAGAGGCTGATGCAGGAGGATTGAGAGTTTGAGCCATCCTCAGCAATTTAGTAAGTCCCTAAAACAACTTAGTTTGACTCTGTATCAAAATAGAAAAATGAAATACAAGGGGCGTGGGTGTGTAGCTCAGTGGCAAGTTGCCATGGGGTCCAATACTCAGTACCAAAAATAAATAAATAAATAAAAATAGAAAAATAATAGTATTCTTCTACTATCACATATCCATTTCCCTTTTCCACATATCCATTATATCTTCCTCCAGCAACTTCCCTTATTAACATTTTGCTTAAAACATATCCACACACAGTCCAAATAAAGCAAATGCTATTGAAGAGTAGAGCATTTTAAGCCTCACATTGGGATTATGTTCAACTACCCAAAGTGTATGAAGACACTGAATTGATCATCAACTCTTTCATTAAAATAGTATAATAGTGAATTTGAAGAGTATGAGTGAAATTTGTAAGAAAACTATGATGAGTATAAACTCACAATCAATAAGTGCTTGAAGACCTGTAGACCAGGCACACATAGCCGGGGTTACAGAAATGAATGGTTCAGAGCACCATTCCTCGGGCAGCTGGTCGAATGGACAAGAACAGAAACAAGATTTAGAAAATGTGCCACCAATTACACGTGCTAGCAGGAGCTCAGGTGAATTTATGAGTAACTAACTAAATGAGAAAAGCTTCACAGAAGAGTGGGACTTGATAGATGCAGCCCAAGGAAGAGCTCGTGGTTGAAAAACAGTGGTGGCTAAGGAAGAGGGATTCTAAGAGGTGAGTAATGCAAGAACTGTGACATTCATCAGAAAGAGCTAAACACAAGTTCTGGTTGGATTAGGGTGGGACATGTGTAAAAATGATGCTTTCAGGAAACAGAATGAGGAAAATTCAATATATTGGCTGTCTGGGGGAATGTGGATGGGTTGAATATCCAGGAAATTTACAAGGGTGGTTGTCCCAAAATCATGAGCAAAGAAAGAATATACTTATTTTAGGTTAAAAACTTGATAAAATTGAATGATTAAATGCAAGGCATACATATATAATTAATTTTAAATTCAGTATTTTGTAATAGGAAAGAAGTTATTTGTAGTTTATATCTTTCATTTTCTTTAAGAGCACCATCCCAACCCCCGCTTTTTTTTTTTTTTTTAATGAGACAATTTCAGGGAAACTATGATGCTAAAAATATTTTCATAGTAATGCAAAGGTGTTCTATTTGCCCGGGTTTATTACTTTATTTTTAAGCAAATTTATAAATATTTAAAAGTATTCTTAATTTCTATTTGCCATAGGTAAATAGTGATGTTATAATCTACTTAAAATCTCTTTGGCATTCTCAGTAGCTTTTAAGAGTATACAGGGATCAGGAGGACAATAAGGGTGAGAACTTTTGGTGTTTTTCAAAATATTTGTGTTGCTTTAGCCATCAATGTGGAAAAGTAGAGCTACATTCTCTGATACTGAATGAATACTCCTATAATCAAATCCTAAAACGGAGAGTGTAAGCTTTGAGTGATTTTGTGATAAAACCAAGTCAGTTTTTTTTAAATCAAACTATGTGAGAAAGCTGTCACCCTCCAGCACCCACCAGTTTTAAACACACCTATTTTTATATTGTATAAGTTATAGAACATTTAATAAAACTTGTTCCTTCTTCCCTTCTTTAATAGTGCTACATTCATTTTTCGGCATGTTGACTGCAAAAATTCCATCTTGATAATTATATCTGGCACAGGAATTAATACAGGTGATATCAACTGCTTTGCATTTTACCTTGATCACCTAGCAAATAAAGATAGATAATAACCTGAGACTGGCAAATAACTGTTTAATGAGGAATGTAAAACATGGAGGCATGGCATAGCATACCCCTATCAAGAAAGATATGGCATTTATGGTTTTTATCCATGCAGGAAATTCATCTGCTGCCAATTAACTGGAAATGTTCAGAACAAGCATATAGGAACACAAACTAAATTCCTTGATATGCTTCTTGTTTTAAGGCATAATTCTAACAGATCACATTCATGCAGATGAACAGCAGAATGAAATATTTCTCTGACTCATTACAAACCAACAGGGCTCTGAAATAGAAGTCCTGCTGGAGGAAGGACATGCAGAGGAGACAGTGACAACCAAGCCTTGCCACCACATCATAGCTGCCCATGGATTCTCTTGAGAGGCCAGGCCCTGTGTTTCACCAAATACAGATTTATATGTATATTTGTGTTGTATCCTCATGGTCGTTTAAGAGGCCATTCCACTGATACATACCTAGCTTTCCCAGTCTCAAGAATATTTTGGATACCCAAATGCATAGTCCACAAAATAACAGAATTGAAGTGCCAAAGTCATGAAAAACAAGAGCTGAAGAACTGTTCCAGATAAAGGGGACTGACAAGATGTAAAAAGAATGTGGAAATTATTTGTGCTATTTTTTTTTAACATTTTAACTATAGAGACATTTACCAATAGACCTATATATCTGTGTGGGAAATGATTAAGAATGCAGCTTTTGACATCAGAGTTCCTGGGTTTAGATCTCAAATCTATTACCTGCTAGCAGTATAACTTTCAAATCAATTACTCTAATTGCTTCGGTTTTCTCATCTTTAAAATGGAGAAAATAATGCCTCTTACCCATTAGTTTGTCGTGAATATTAAATGCATTAATATAAATAAGGTGCTTAGAAAAATGTTAACTTTCACAAATATTTGTTAGAATTATGAGCATTATTTTTGCTATACCAATTGTTGTGCATGAAATATTAGAATGAACTATAATATTATTCTATCTCTAGATAAGTGTCAATCTATCTATCATCTATCTCCATCTAGTTGCTAGCTATGCAGAATCTTTGATAAAGCAAATAGATGTAGTGATGGTATGTCTACCATTGCCCCAGGAGATCACAGGAGTAGACAGGTTAAGAGATCAGGGAAAACTGTTAAGGAGACATTCTAGGAGACTTGACCTTCTGGCAAGGCAACTCACTAATAGCTCAAGACAGAAAGTGTTTCTGAGAAGTAATGTGATATGTCAGACATGAATTTCTACTCAGTATACAAGTCCAAAAAAAATTTTTAATCTCTTGAAAATGTCATTTTTTTTACATGTACATCTACCTGTTTTGAACAGCATATGGGAGGAGAATGTGGTCCAAATTAGCATTAGAAACCTTAACATCAACAGAACAAGGCCTGCAAGGATGGGAGGGGATTCTAATAATGGAAGCCATTTAGTTGAGGGTGATGTGCTGTGGGAACATTGAACATGAGATCATAAAATACAGTTGGTCTGGTGCAGTGTAGCTCTCACCCTGTGGCTTTGCTCTTAAGACCAGCTGTGGTACATTGTACTCACCAAATTTTATATCCCTAACGTTGTTCATTTCTCAGAACTTTGAGAAATGTTGAAACTTTCTATTAGGCCATGAAATCAACATAACAAAGTGTAAGAATTAGACCATCAAAACCAAATAGGTTTACTGGTTCATTCCTAACTTTCAGTACTGTCCTCACCTATTCTTCAGAGATAGCTGGGACAGAACAAGGCTGCGTCCACCAGGGTTCACCAGCAACGGGAGCAAGGGCCAGCATCTCATTGGGGGATTCTTCTTCCTGCTGAGGAGGGTATAAACTTAGTCTCAAATAATTAGTGAAGAGCAAAACACAAATAGTCAGAAACATATTTACATAAAGCAGAGCCCCTGATATATCTTTGTCCACATGGGTGCTGGATCCAGACAAAGGAAAGATGGCTCCAGTGGTTTATTTAAGGAGGTACATCAAAGGCAGGGGTAAGGTTTCAAGGGCAGAGTCTTGCTTCCTGATGTCTTGCAGTCAGCAGGTTGATTGACATTTTGGCAGGACACACCCATCTCAGGTGCTATGTGGGCCATGACAGAGAAGCATAGAAATTCAGTCTCTGGGCAGTTGATCAGAGAAAATGTCTACTGGTTAAAAGATGTTTCTATCCACTAGGCTTCGATGCTTGGTGACTCACACGCAACCCATGGACAATGGCTTGTGAGACACCAGGAAACAGGAATCACTAGATATTATAAACTAAGGGAGGAAACTCAAGAGTTTACTCCTGGAGGTAGAGAGGCACAGAAGGAAGGTAGTATTTGTAGAACTCAGAACTAAGGTTTGTCTGTGTGATCAATGACTCAGTATCATTAAGATAGGTGGTATGTGGCAGGGAACTAGAACCATGTAAAATGCTGCTGAGGTGTGGAGAAAGATGAAGAAATACTTTGTGTCTCCCCTCCTTCCAACTGTAGTGTTGGTTGGATAATTATGCCAGGAAGCCAATTTGTAAAGGGACCTAGTAAATATGGTTTGTAGGAATAAGGTATGAATGGATATGCTTGCAAATAGGCCATGACCACCACCACCTCTCTCTCCGTGTCTGAAACAACAAACAGAAGTCAAGAGACTGCTTCACATATGTACTGTTTTAGAAGAAATTTCCCCTCCCAGGTGCTATTTCCTTAATTTTTCAGAGGAAGTCACTTCAGCAGTTATTATTATCTCAACCTTGAGGATGAGAAGACAGGATCTGGGAAAGGTTCTGGTCTATGTCTGTGATTGCAGAGCCAGAAGGGAACAGAGGCCACCTGGTTCCATGCCTACTTATCTTCCTTTCCTCTATATCTGTTCAACACTTAAAAAATCTTGTTTTGTATTTTGGCGGAACTGTAGAGTTTAAATCTCTGAGGCTAAAATAGATAACAGAATTCATGCAATTTGATTTTAAAGATGCATAACCTATGGTCTGGAAATGTTTTCTTGATAGAAATGGTAATTATAACTTAGAGTTACCTTAAAAAGTTGAGTAATTACATCACTAACCTAAAGGCTCTCTGTTCTCTCTACATAAAGTCACTGAAGAATCTCAATGAGGATGGGAATGAAGAGCTCTGGTGGAAGGAATTTGCCTTGAGAAGTCAACGGGACACCTATGTGCATGTGAAGTCAACTCTGTTTTTTCTGAAGTAGAGAGATAGACTATATGCTAAGCTCAAAAGGGAGGGAGGACAATGGGACATCAAGAGTATGACATATGGTTGAGCTGTCTGCTGAGGAAATGGGAAGTGAGTGTAACTAGGAATGCACACAATGACTCATATGTAATGGAACATTGAAGACCTATTCATACCAGCCAAGGATGAATGGGTCAAATGTGAGGTGGCATCAGTCAGCAGACTTTCTTCAGTAGTGCTTATGGTTCTGGACAAGAACGAAGAAAGTGAGTTTTTAAACTGATCTAGCATTGTAGAAATGGTCTGGTAGGTGAGACAGACTGGTTAGAAAGTGAGTAAACTCTGTGCTTTCTTCACATAGGCTGGAGAAAATGGATGTCGGAGTCAGGTTGTATCAGAAAGTAAAAGCCTCATGAGCTGGGGGTGTGGCTCAATGATGGAGTACTTGACTAGCATACATGAAGCCCTGGGCTCCATCCCCAGTTCTGCCAAAAAGTCTCTATGGAGTTTAAATTTTGATTTAATGAAAAACTTATTAGAAGAAGTGAATAGATAGAAGGCTGAAATCAGAATGTGATTTCTAAGTTGTTTTCAGAACTGTGAAGTTCAATACAGAAGCTGTCAACTGTAAAATTGGGATGTGCAATAAATGTAAAATGTAGACTAGACTTTGAAGACTTAAAATTAAAAAAAAATGTAAAACATGTAAATATTTTTCAAACTTAATCTATATTTAAATGATACTATTTAGGCAATATTTGCACAAATAAAATGTCAGTAAAATTAATTTTACCTTTTCCTTAGTGTGGCTACTAGAAAAGTTAAAATTACATATATGAGTTATATTATATTACTATTGAATGGCACTGTTTTAGCAGTTTCATAGTTAAAGATTCAAGACAGCTTTTTAAAGTGTGTCGGGATAGGTTATTTAATGGAATTATATGGCATATTGGTCAATATTGGAAATAGAAAATTGCCACAGTATAGAATATATAAAATATTTTTATGTACTAATTACCATTGTTTAATTTAAATAAGAGGAATTTTCCTAGTTTTGCACCAAAGTTTTGAAAATAAATTTAGTTGCAGATAGGTTAATATATTTATATTAAAGAAACACACTGAACAGTTTCCTATGTTTTGTCTTCATAGTAATAAGTTAATTCTATACCCACAATCATGAGTTGGCAATGTAGAAATTTTCATTTTGTGTCTGTCACACAGTGCTCCATATTCAAATTGAATATGTGTCCAGAAATTTAGAGAGATTTCTCACTAATACTACTTTCAATGCTGCTAACAAGCACTTTTCATTCAAAGTAGACTTTAGAGATAAATGCAAATGGCTTCTGAACTGATTTTTTTTAGTTGCATTTATCTTTGTAAGTTGTATGGATGTAGCTTCAAAACAAGTCCCTTCTACATATGATTAAGTGATCTTCAATAAGGGTGCCAAGATCCCCTGATGGGGAAAGGACAGTCTCTTCAATGAAAGCAATAGGACACTGGATGATACACATGAAAAAGAAGGAAGCTGCAACATTGTCTTACTTTATAGACAAAAATGAACTCAAAATTGATTGAAAACCTAAACAAGGACCTCAAACTATAAAACTGCTAGAGGAAAGCATAAGGGAAAACTTCATGACTTTTGGATTTGGAAATGATTTCTTGGATCTGACCCCAAAAGCACAGACAACAAAAGCAAAAATAGATGAGACTGTGTCAAATTTAATAATTGTACATTAAAGGAAACAATCAGAGTAAAGTGGCAACCTGTGGAAAGGTAAAATATCTATAAAATATATGTAACTTGAGGCTAATATCTAACATGTATAAAGAATTCTTACAACTCAGAAATAATAATAATAAAAAACTAACAACCAGAGTTAGAAATAGGCAAGTGTCTTACATAGGCAGTTTATGAAATAAAATATACAACCTGCTAGCAAACAAATGAGACGATAGTCAGCATCACTAAGCATCAGCTAAGTGTAAATCAAAACAAGTATGAGATATGACCTCATACCCAGCAGCATGGCTAATTGCAAACAAAAACAGAAAGTAACTGTTGATAAGAATGTGAAGAAATTGGAATCTGCACTGTTGGTGGGAATGCAAAATGGTGCAGTTGCTATGGAAAACAATACCCTGTTGCTCAGAAAAATTAAACATAGAATTATCTCATGATCAGGCAATCTCAATTCTGAGTATGTGTCCAAAATAACTGAAAATGGATCTCAAAGAGATATTTGCACACCTGTGTTTATTGTATTAGGATTGACAACAGCCAACACATGGAAGCAACCAACTGACAGTTGAATAAATAAATAAAATGTGGAATATAGGTAGAATGACATATTAATCTGCTTTAATATGAGAAATTCTGTTACATGCTACAACATAGATGAAACTTGAGTATATCGTACCAATGATAGAAAGAAATGCTATATGATTTCACTTATATGAGATTTGTAAAATAATCCAACTCACACAAAGTAGAGTGTGGTTGCCAGAGGCTGGGGGCGGAAGATAAAATGAGGAAGTGTTTTTTACTGGGTGTAGTTTCAGTTTTGCAATATAAAAAAAATTATTTTCTAAGATTTGTTGCACGACAATATAACTATGTAATTAAAAATGATTAAGATAATAAATATTGACATTTTGTTAATGTTGAATTTTATGCTGTGTTTTCCTGACCCCAATTAAAAAGACAAACCTTGAAAATACAATATTTCTTCAATAAGTGAAAAAAATTGTAAAGTGTTAGAGAACCATGAAACTTCCAGCAACTGATGTATTTTTGAATCCAGAAATTTCATCTTTGTAAAAAATTCTCATAGCTTTTTTCAAAATTATTCTTAACATTAAAACATATGACATTTCATGTATAATTTTCATGTTATTTAAATTTATTACTTGTAGAATATTTGAGAAAAACACTGAGAATAGTTTTAAGAGAAGTATTAGCATTTATATCCTATTCCTTATTTCAAAAACATCTTTTCTTTCATCATCTAATAATGAACTTTTTATAGTTACTGCCATACCTATGTTTCTTTCAAGTATTAAAAAAATCATTAACGCAGAGATTCTACTTAATTATGTTCACAAAGTTTTGCGTTCCTTTCAATATTTAATCTAAATTGAGAGATTCAGTATTTATTATCAACAGTTGTGTGTAAATGAAAACGTGTACTGATTGACATGTGGGTGTAATTGGTTTTATTTGTGTATCAACATTTTCTATTGCCATACACATATTTGAAAATTTGTCAGTATTGAGCTAAATGAACTTTTCCAGTTTGAAAAGTAGTCATTATATCACGAAATCACATCTCTCTTAGTAGAAATTTTCAGAGATAAATATAAAATATAAATATAAAATATAAATAATACCTAGTATTTTTCTTTCATGCATATCTCATATATACTAGGACCTAATTCACATTATACATCCAATTGACATTTGTAGTACTATACAGTAAAATATATGTTAGTACACAAATATAATAGCAAATGCTCTCATAAATTGAAAGAGTTGATATTATTCAAAACATGATTGTATTTTTGTGTTTGACTCTTTTACTTTCCAACACACACACACACACACACACTTTAGACTTTTTGATTGCTTTATAAACCTCTTAAAATAGTTTCTTATATCTGATTGTGCTATGAAGCACGTGAGTTTTGAATGTGCCCTCAGTTTTAGTTTCATCTCTGCTTTTAGCAAGCACATTCATCAATTCTGCACAGGAAAACATCATTTAGTCCCCATTCTGGAAAACACTCAATTGGTTTACCAGAAAGGTTCCTGTTCTTTTTTGAAAATTATGTGAAATCTTGTATTGCTTTATACCATTATTTACTATATTTTCAGCAGAAAATTCACTGAGACAAATCAATCACTGGTTTAATAAA